GCCCAGACCTACAACAGATACGACTTTCATTGTTCAATAACACTAAACCATCTGACTATCTCAAAGCGACAAATGACCGTAGTATTAACCTAATTGCAAAATTTGTAGCACTTTCTAAATTAAATATATAAAAATACATAAGTATAACCACTATCCTTAAGATCTTAAAAATAGATATCCTAAAWGTTGTATACACAATATATATCATTATTTCTTCTTCTTTAAACGATCATCTTCTCATATACTAACATAATACACCTAGAACTTAATGTATACTTAAGCCGAAGGCCCTGGCAGCCAGTGCTTTAGCTCGTAAGTGAGGTAATTATTTATAATTGTTTCTCTTTTAAATAAATAAATAAAAATAAAAATATCTTTTGATTGGTTATTGTGATTTTTGACTGTGATATAAAAAGTTTAATATTTGTTATCGACATTTTTATTTTCAGTTAAGTTTATATACATCTTTAAATAACGAAACATAACAGCTGATTAGACCTGTTCGTTTGCAAATGTGCATTGTATTTTTGTGAAAATCTCGTACTAAGTTGGAAAATCGTTTCACGTCAAAAATTGTCTCTAATTTAAAATCTCAAATTTAAAGAATTGTGATTGCATCACAGAAGTCCGGTATAAAACCAAATATTGAATAAATGAAAGAGACAATTCACGCAAATCAAATCAACCCTGCCGAAAAAATTGTGAGGTATCAAAGTTCCAAACCGAATGCAGAGAATTTTATTAAGGGCATCGCTGGTTTATCTATTTAAAAATAGCAACTTTTTTACAAATATGCCAAATCACGAAGTCTTTTTTTAGAAGCTTATTAAAATGGAAAAAACACTAAAAGTTACAAACTTTTAATGCGCAACCACTTTCATACAATAAAAACCTTTGCTGTAAGCACCGAGAACACATTGACACACACATATTCATATGCACACTCTATTCTGCATTTTTAGATTGGAAATTAACAAACCTTTGCAATTTGTTGTTGCTGTTGAGGCTGCAATTTGCTTTTTATTAATATCGCTGGAGTTGGTGCGCCGGAAGCAGTAGTTTCACTACTCCCAGCCTTGCGATATTTCACTACGGTCAATGCCATTTTACAATTTGTTTGCGTCTGTGTAATTTTTGCTGCAATACTTTAGAGGAGCATCACAAAGCGCTACGTTTGCGCCAAAATTATATATGTATTCGAACTAAAATTGGCGTAGTTATTCCACACAGGTAATTCAATTTTCATTACGACTGAGTATACTTTGCTGAATTCACAACATTTTTGCACAATTTTTCATTGAGAAATTAAATCGAATTAAGTTTTCACGGTTCCTTGCTTTTGAGAATCGTCACGCAAATTACGAAGCTTGCAAATACAAATATCAGTGTGGTGAGCTTTCTTTGTATTGGCTTACTTGGGTTGCCTTCATTCTGAGTTCATGGTTACTTAAGAAATAATTCGTTACAGTTTTTCTATTTTAAGAATCAGTAAAAATCAAATATATCCAAGTAAATACAAAATAATAAATCAAAAGAATAATTATAAAATAATTAAATAAAAACAAAGAAAATATTAAAATTTAAAATAATCATAATATTTTTTTTTAATATATATTTATTCGCAATCTATCAAATGACAATCAGCAAATTTTTTAAATACATTAATAGTGACAGGATTGATTGTTCTCCATTGAGACTAATCGATATATTCGTAAATTATTTATTTGCTTAAACTTCTTAAAACTACTTAAAATCTATATGGAAGATCCAAAATGTGAGTTCGTTTTAAACGTCTAACATCCATACTGTAGTCTAGTAAACTTATTGCAGTAAGTTTTCATGATTAGACAATTTATCCAAATACTTTCGCCAAGATTTGCTGATTTCGTCTTTAATAAAAGGTATATTTAAGTCTTTATGGATTTCGAAGTTGCTCACAAACCAAGGAACACTTACAATGCTTCTTAAAGTTTCGATTGATATCTTTGGAGGATTTCAATGTTGGATATACTCGCCGTACCCCATAACTGCATTGCATACGTCCATATTGGCTTAAGGATTGACTTGTAAAGTCGTACTTCATTTTCAAGGCTAAGTTGAGATCGCTGACCTAAAAGACAGTACATTTTTTTAGTTTTAAATTTGAGTTGCTTCGTTTTTTCTTTTATGTGTATCTTCCAAGTGAGTCGTCTGTCCAATTAAATACCAAGGTATTTCACAGTTTCACTTTCAGGTATTATGGAGCCATTTAACGTTACGGGGGGACATTTCTCAGTAATTAACGTAAACGTTATTTGAACAGATTTCTGTGTATTTATTTCTATCTTCCAATTCTTTAGCAATTTTTCAACAATATTAAGTTTTTTCTTGTAAGTGAAGTGAGGCCACACTAGGATTAAAACTGATCTCGATAAATGCCGTATCATCAGCATAATTTGCTACCTCTAAGCCATTAGCGATCGGTAGGTCAGCTGTAAATATTGTATATAACACGGGGCCCAAGACGCTCCCTTGGGGAACTCCAGTGTCAATCAAATAAAGCTCAGAAAATGCATATTTTTCCTTAACATGGAAGGTACGATTGCTTAAAAATGATTTTATAAGTAAGTAGTAAGGCGCTGGAAACCATTTTTTTTATTTTGTAAAGTAACCCTGGGTGCCATACTTTATCAAATGCTTGTTTAACATCTAAAAAGACCCCTGCAGTATTGCTTACATTCGAAAGCATTTGTGATAATTTTAACAATTCGATGACATTGCTCAGGAGTTCCATGCCCCCTTCTAAACCCAAACTGGTGTTGAGGTAATATGTTTTGGTCCTCTAAAACAGATAACATTCTCTTTAAAAATATCTTTTCAAATATCTTAGAGAAGGTCACCACTAAACTAAATGGACGGTGTGAAGAAGGGCAGTGCTCCGGTTTATTGGGTTTTGGATCATTATTATTTCAGCGTATTTCTATTGACTTGGATAGTGGTCGAGTCTGAGCATAGCATTGTAGATGTAAGTAAGTAGTCTGATACATTTTTTGGGCAGGTGTCTACAAGTAAGACCATCAATTTTATCAAAACCAGGCGATTTATTAAGTTTAATTTTCTTTATCTCAGTCGTTACTTCCTTGATAGAAATTCTTCGAATAGGCAGGCTCATCTGGCAAGGCGATTCTAGGAAGTTTTGTATTTCAGTAGTGTTTTCATTATCTGGAATTACATTTGGTCTAAAAACTGAATGTAAATGATAAGCAAAAGCTTCATCTTTCTCTTGATTATCTCTGCACCTGTGACCATAACTATTTTCTATAATCGTGTTTCTTCTAGTGGGTCTCTTTAGATATTTGGTTACCATCCACCGATTATGTTCAGGGTTGTTTGCATGGGGATCTAAATTCCTTAGGTACTCTGATGTTTCTTGATCTTTTATTTCTCGCAGTTTGGACTTCAAATCATTGGTTGTCTTGTTCAAAACTCTTTTGTCAAGAGGACTCCGACTAATTTGCCACCTTTTCCTGAGTAGTCTTTTCTCTTTTATTAGCCGTCTTAGGGAACGTTCAGGTATTACGTAACGCAATTTGGGGGGAGGGGGGTCTCGTAAAACAACACGTTACGTAACATTATTTCTTTTGCTAAATAAGAAAATAGCGAATTAAAACTCAAAAGATGGCAACCCTTTTCGTTTACGTTTTACGGAGAATCACTAGATTGTATTGTACCTCATTTAATGTGGTTATTGTTGTCAGTATTCGTTAGTGTTTATGCAGATGCTCATCGCTGTAGTTGGTGTTATTAAAGTGAATTTTAGTGTTCGAATACTGTAATGTCTTCAAAAGAGGGAGTTTTGTATCATCAGCTGTTCTTGGCCTATAAAGGCTCTCATGCTAACTTGCCAGCGCAACTGTGTCAAAAAATTGCCAACGATATTTGGAAAATGGCTAAAGAAAAACTAAAAAATAAATAAAAATTTATAGAACATATAAATGATATTATACGACAGTTGAAGGTGAAGGCCACGAAGAAGAAAGCAACAATGCTTAGTTATTTTACACAGGTAAGTTTACTTATAAAACGTAATTATGACAAGTATTATAATATGTAATACAAATCTTGATTTTTCAAAAACTGGTCATAAGTTCATAAGTATTATTTATTTCTAGCTACTTATGGAAACTTCAAGCACGCCAGCACCACGCCCAGGCACGCTTAGGCCCAATGTTCCCTCGACTTCACTTGCTCTTCAACAAAAACAGKTGCATCTGCTTGTATATTATGTTCCTTTTTATCGCATGTGCCAATATTACCTATTTCTAATGTTAACATCTTGATTTCTATAGGATTCGGGTGTTGTAGCTTCATCTCATATGGAATCGATTGTCGCAGTCACTGGACATAAAAGCACTGCCGTTAAAGGACAGATGAGCGATACCCACGATGAACAAAGTCGGAATACTGATGAGGAAATTGTGCAGACACCGTCTACGGAACCACATACGTCTTTGATTGATTCGGGCTTCACTAAAAATGTTACAAGCAAACCGGCTCAAGATGATCTTATGAAAAAAATTAGTCTACTGCAACAGAGAATAAATGTTCTTACTGAAGCAAGGGACACTCGAATAGCTAAAGATGATGTTCACGACGAAATAAAAAAGCTACGCAAAGAGTTGAAAGAAGAAGAAAAATGTTTAAAGAAAAAAGAGACTGCTAAACGTGCAAAAAAATTTCGAGCCAAAGAAAAACTGGAGAAAACTGAACGTCAGAGAAACAATCCTCCTGCAGCACAACCTCGAACTAGCTCTGGACAGCCCCCTTTAGTTGACTCGCAACCTGCTCTCCTAGAGACCATAATAAATATTGCCATTCATGGCAGCGCTGCTGGTGAACGCCGCCGAACAGAGATGATTAGGAGTTGTCTCACTCTGTCCGACCTGCATAAGGGGCTGTTGTTAACGGGATTCAAAATTTCTCGAAGCGGCACATATCTTCATTTACTCCCACGCGTTTCTAACACTCAAGAGGGAAGAAGGCACGTACGTACCGTACCCGTAAAGTTAGCAAGACCACAGACCGAGATGCACAAAAAGCACGAGGACGGGGAATTTTGCACTGCTACAATCAGGTCATTGGAATCTCTCGCGTCGCTTCTGGGACCGCAGCAAGTATTCGTTCTCTCACAAGATGATAAGGCACGTGTACCAATAGGTTTACCGGCAGTGAAAAGTCAGAGCCCTCTTCTAATGCATATGGAATACAGAATACTTTTACCTGATCATGACTGGGTCGTGGCAGAGAGGCACAAACTTATTCCTTCTGTATATGCCGGCGTCAACGTGGAACCAAAAAAATTCCGGTAAGGAAGAAGCTGTTGGGTACAGCGGGCCGACATACATATCCATAAGAAAAACTTTGCGATTGAACATTTTAAAAAATACAACTTGGACGCCCTGTTTATAGCGACTAATGCTCCTGGGCGGAGCGCATATAACCGAGTTGAGCGYCGCATGGCTCCCCTCAGCAAACGACTGGCAGGGGTCATTCTGCCTCATGAACATTTTGGTTCTCATCTCGACAACAAAGGAATTACTACGGATGTTGATTTGGAAAAACGCAATTCTCAGCACGCTGGAGAAACACTTGCAGAAGTGTGGAGAGAAATGAAAATTGACAATTACGACGTTTCGGCGGAGTATAGACAGCCCGAAGATAGCATGCAGGATCCAGCAGAACCAAATCTGGCGTGGTATAGCGTTCACGTCCGTGAATCGCAATATTTTTTACAGGTTATAAAATGCGCGGATGAATCCTGCTGTTCGCCACCGAGAAGTGCATTGAAATCTGTGTTTACGGATACTTTCATGCCGCCACCTTGCCCAATACTTCAAACCCCAAGCAAGCTCGTAGTACCCAGTTTGCCAGACAAGGGAACATCCAAGTTTTCAACACTTCTTGTGAGGTTGTCACTTGATCTGTCACCTCCTCTAGAAAGGTTTAAGCAGATGCCTTACGACTTCTTTTGTCCATCTGTACAATCCGACCTAAAAATAAAGTATGTCCAAAATGTGGGATCTATTTCACATCTCACAGGAGTGTTCAAATGCACTGTCGTTACGTGCATGGCAAGATTGTCCAAGACAATTGTGAAACTAGAGTACGGCCGCAGCGCCTTGCTGCCAGAAGGGCAAATGAGTTTCTCTGCATTGTGCGTAGTTATGAAACATCGTCAGAGGATGCTGACTGGCTCGATGAAGATGAAGTTGACAAAAAAACGTTACGGTCCATTACGAGGGGGGAGGGGGGTGTAAAAAATCTTCAAAAATTGCGTTACGTAATACTTGAACGCTCCCTTAATTCAAGGGGAAGAAATGGTTTTTTAACTTCGGTAACACTTGATTGTGAAGTGAAAAGAAATCCCAGCTCATGAATAGTATTTTTAAGATTTTCAACTGCTAAGTCAATCTCATCGCCAGATTTTAGGGGTATATCTAAACTAGTTCGATTCACAAGCCAGTTTCTAAATACTGCTATATCTGTATTTTGCGTAATAATCTTATATGGTTTTTCCATACATGACACAGTAGTCCCAAAAGTTACAAATATTGGTGAATGATCAGAGTTTAAATCAAAGCTCTCCTTAATGTGGAGTTGGTGTTGTGATATACCTTTATACACAACAAAATCTAACAGGTCCGGTCTTTTTCGAAGGTCACTAGGCCAGAATGTAGGTTTTCCTGTAGAAATAGTTCAGTAATTGAACTTTGTTATACATTTAAATAGCTCAGTTACTCAGTCTAGATCCCCACCAAGGATGCTTAGCGTTATAGTCCCCTCCAGCAATAAAGTGGTTACCGAGACTTTGAAAGAATTTTTTATAGTCATATAAGGTACACCGCTGCTATAGATACATCAATATGCCGTTCCCACGACAGTCGGGTCTACGAAAACCGGAACGGACGCGGATTTTTATCCGGCCAAGGACCAGAGCCGTAACTAGGACGTGGCGAAGGTGGCACCCGCCACGGGCGCAACAGTCGCAGAGGCGCAACGTAGGTTGAGCCTACATACGCCTGACGAAATATCGGTTGCTGAGCGTCCGAAAGAGCTACCGTCTGAAACTGGCGCGTCATYCACGGCGGGCGAAACAAGAGACATAGGGCGCGAACGGACCGAAAAAACTGCAGCCAGTGCAGTGGGCAGCAATGCGGCAGTACCACACGTGCCAGTGCGAATGTAATCGTCGCGAGGCGCGCACAAAGCAAGGGCACCCGTGGATGTGCTATTCCAGAAATCGGGGGCGCCACGCTATTAGTGCGAATCTGTCAGTCCTGTTTCTGTGCCCACTGCCGGCCGTGCCGTGTGTTGTGCTATAGGGCAGTCAGCCATAATCTGTGTTCATCTGTGATCCAGGTGACAAAACGCATGCTTTTTTCAATAACATATGATGCAATGATGTAAAATTGTGCAAATTGTAGATTTTGTTTTCCATAGACAATGAGGACTATCGGAAGGTGCTTTCTGATTTTCGGTATAACATACGGTTTAGCCGGAAATACTAACAATTTTTGTCTTTCAAACGACACATACATGTTTTTTCTTCAGTTTTGGAATAAACATTCATTCCCCTCTAGAATAATATACAATGTGCATAAATTCCAAGAAAATAGTATTTGAAAATTGTATCCTAATCTAGCAATATCAACTACACATCAAGGTTCCTATTTATAATATCCATGGAAACTTGCCATTAGTCGTTTTACGTTATTGTATAGGATAATTAGTTCCTATTCCAAAATCAAGGAAAAAATATGTAAGTGCCATTTGAAAAACAAAAATTGGTAGTATTTCCGGTCAAAGCGCAACTCACTCAGGTCGAGCACAGATGACTAGTGACGGAGAGATTGCAAAATGTAAATGCAATTCTTTAGAAACACTGGGTTGATTCCTAATATACGGTATGTTCTTCCGGCTCGGCTCGGAGCTGCTCGACTCATAGCCGAGCGAACGTGAATGGAAGGTGCGCGGCGCGTAATTGATCTCCGCTCCCCACACTTGCGTATTCCACAAGCCGCATGGTGTAATGGCAAAGCGCTTGCTTACGGATCCAGAGGTCATGGATTCGAACCCTACCCCTCGCATTCTTTCTACTTTTTTCCTTTGGCAAGGACTGTCAATTCTGCCGTTACAACAACAACATACATCAATATGCATACATTTAATTTGAATAGCTGCAGCTTGTATATTTACTAAATTCACGTTATCAAGTTTTTAAAATTTAAGAGTGTTTTTAACAATTACTGCTAACCTCCTTCTTGCTAAAAATCATGGAAAAGATCATAGACCAGGAAATAAGATCGAAGGCTCTTATAACTGCACCCCTGCATGCAAATCAGCATGCGTACAGAGCAGGCAGATCGACGAACACCGCCCTTTACCAGCAAACCTCGGAGATACAGAACTCGCTGGACTCCGGGGAGATGACGTTATGCGCCTTCTTATACATCGAAGGTGCCTTTGACAACGCGTCCCACGGGAGCGTAGTAAGGGCACTGGAGAAAAGTAATGTGGCACCTACAATGCGCAGGTGGATAGAGGCGGTACTGCGCACCAGAATAGCTGAAACCACATCAGGAGGCACCAGTATTCGTCTCAGTACTACAAGGGGCTGCCCACAGGAAGGCGTGCTATCCCCCCTGTTGTGGAGCATAGTCGTGGACGAGCTGCTGGTGCTGTTGACTAACAATGGAATCCGCTGTCAAGGATATGCGGACGACATTGTTATTATAGCCAGAGGAAAATTTGTGAGTACTCTCTGCGATCTCTTACAAAGGGGACTAGGTCAGGCCAAGGGTTGGTGTAATAGTGTCGGACTAAACATCARCCCCTTGAAAACGACCATCGTCCCGTTTACGAGGCGCAGGTCTCTGCCGGGCCTAAGGAACTTRACGCYCGGAGGCAGAGAGATAGTGATGACAAATATGGTCAAATACCTAGGTSTCACGCTGGATTCCACGCTGAGATGGAAGCAGCACATCGACCTGACCATGGTCAAAGCTACAAAGGCACTAATGGTGTGCAACCGGCTGGCTGGTAGATCCTGGGGGTGCAAACCAAGGATTATCAATTGGTTGTATACTATGATAGTGCGACCAATTATAACTTATGAAGCGGTGGTATGGGCACCAAGAGCATTGCAATCGACGGTTAAACTTAAACTGTCGAAACTGCAAAGGCTTGCATGTGTCTGTATGACAGGAGCAGTCCGTACCTGCCCGACAGCGACACTTGAGGCCATGCTGGAGCTCACCCCGCTGCACCTAGTAATTGGTCAAGTCGCCAAGCACACTCTACTTCAAATGACAGCAGAGGGAACCGGCAAAGGTAAAGTGATCTCGTCCCAACGTATGGAAGAGCTAAGCGGCACCATACCACTGGCTCTTCTTCCTAGGGAGTGCATTACCAAAAAGTTAAACTTCACTAAAAAGTTTAAGATCACACTCGGCAACAAGGCCGATTGGAGCGACTCCGCTCTCGAGTTACTACTCAGGGATAGCTCGATCAGGTGGTACACCGACGGCTCGAAAACTTCGGAGGGAATTGGTGCAGGGGTCGCAGGACCACGTGCAAAACTCTCCATACCTATGGGAAGGTTTCCGAGCATATTCCAAGCGGAAGTATTTGCTATAAGTCGGTGCGTAGAGTTAAACCTCCATCGCGGCTATCGCAACGAACGTATAGCCATACTAAGCGATAGCCAAGCGGCATTCGGGGCGATCTCATCATACGAGGTAAAATCGCTATTGGTGCAGGAGTGTATAGATCGGCTGAATAGTCTGGCAGAATGCAACCAAGTGCACCTTATTTGGGTGCCGGGCTACAAAGGCATTGCTGGAAACGAACTGGCCGATGAGCTTGCCCGCGCTGCAGCATCCATCAACATGGTAGGGCCAGAACCCTTCATAGCGGTAGGTCGCCACACCATAAAGGAACAGTTCCGCAAGGATGCAGCARTGGGTAGGGAGATACATTGGCAACAACTTCCAGGCTTGCGTCACGCAAAGCTGCTAATGAAGGGTTACAACCTCAAGAGGTTTAAACTCATAATCAATCTCCCAAGAGATAAAGTCAGGCTACTGGTCGTAAAATATAAAATAAAAAATGAGAAAAGTTCAGCCCGGTGACCCATCTTTCTTTTTTACCTCAGCAAAAAATATTTCTCCAAACTTTTTTAATTTTTTAATATTTGCTTTAATAATGCTAGCAAATATACATAGATGTATAGTATATAAATAAATATACATTTTTTATATCTTTTATTGATAAAAAATAATGCATACATACAAAAGAAATACTGAATAACTGTATGAGGCAGTTAATTAAAATATTTGTATATATGTACAACAGGCAGGCTTGCAGCGAACTTCACTATTTTTTCTGTAGGCGGAGTTCGTACATCGTAGAAATTGAAATCGTAGATCTAATGGGATGTACTTTGACATGTATATGTAGGCAAGATTTGAATTTTATAGTCATATTTCAAACTCAACTTAAAAGTTGATTTAAGACTAAATTCCAAGTGGTCTTTTTCGAAAACGAATTTTTGAAATTAAGTATTTGGAGAAGTATTGTTGTATCGTACAAATTTGTGTTGGCAAACTGCCGGTTGTCAATGGAATGTTCGCTATATTTAGGTGACATCTATTGGGTCCCTTGCATTTGGTATATACTCCTCGCTAACATCATTTTCTAAATGAAACAGATTCCGTAAGCTCTCCACTGACAATTGCTTGAATTCCCAATTCGCTTGCTTTTGTTTGCCAGCATTAACGACATTGAATATATTCTCCTCTATCGTATTACAAACAATAAAACGATGTACCGTTGTTGATCTACATATAACAAAGAATAATATGAGCATTTTTTTCAATATCAAAACGCAAGTAACTACCTAGTCTGTCCGAAACGATGGACGCGTCCAATGGCCTGCGCTTCCTCGCCGGGATTTAGTATGGGTTCGACAAGAAAAACATGTGTAGCCTCTATTAGGTTTAAGCCATTGCATCCTCTGTGCAAAGGCATCAGCAAACAAGTGACGCCCAATTGTGGGTTCTGAAGGAAATATTGTCTGAATTATAAAAAAAAAAATACAAAAATATGTACTAGCTACCTTAAATTCCTCAATTGTGCGCGGCGTCAAGTTAAAGCGGTGACGTATGCCATTTTGTGTTAAAGCCATTGCAATTGGATGTAAAATTTCGGCCCATTGTGAGAATACTAAAATTTTTAAAGGCTGCACGTCTTTAGAGTGATCATGTTGCAGCTTTAAAATCAAGCGCACAATATAGGTAATTTTGGACGAATAGTCGCCGATGACTTGTATATTTGTTTCCGCAGAGATTGTGGGCGTGCGTGTGACGTAATAAATCCTAATAAAGTATATGTAAGTATATAGTAAATTAAATAATATATAGGTTTTCTTTTACTTTTCTGAATTTTGATGATTGCGGCAAATCGGACAACATAGCTTCTGATGTGTATTATATTGACGTATTGTTCGTAAACAAAGGAGACATATATTGTGTCCGCACTCCAATACAGCGTACTGAAATTTTAAATTAAACATTTTTTTTTTAAATTATGTAAATGCCATGGAAAATTTGGGTTTTGTGTAAAAACCAAATTAACATACCCGACTTTCGTCTTCTGATTGACAAATAGGGCATGGTCCAGTGTCAGCATCAGCCTCCAAATGTGTTATGTACTTGAGACGCGCAAGCTTCATAGCAAACTGTCGCTGTGCGTTGTACAGGTTCATTTGCTGCTCTAAAAAAGTGTCGTCCAGCTACGGTAAAAATAAGATTTTAAAAAGAATATTTATTCTAAATATGATTTTGCTATTGATTTGTATAAATGATAAGAAAATTAAAAAGAAAAAATCATGAAAGAGATAATCTCAAAAACTCAAAATTAAAAACGTTAGTTATAAATACAATACAAATATTAAAAAATAAAAATAAAAAATTTAACTTCGGCTGTACCGAAGCTACAATAACCTTCACAAATAAAAAGTTGCCTATGAAATAACTTAATTTTAATCGCTCAACTTGTACAAAATCTATATGTTATAGTGGTTCGATCAGAAAAATTTCTTCGGAAATTATACATATCTCGTGAAGATATCTTTGCACATAATAAAGTTTTCATGCACGGACTTCATAATGATCGGTCAATGTGAAAGACAGCTTTATTCGAGGTAGGATATCGGACCTGTGCCGATAAGGGAAAAGCTTCTTTGGGAGAAGAAAACGTTTGCGAATTTTCAGCTCGATATCTCAAAACGTAAGAGACTAGTTCCCGTATATACGCGGCCGGTCGCGCTGATAACTTTTATATAAACTGGATAGTCTTCGACGTTGCCTTGTGGATGCTACAAACTTCGTAGTCAACTTTATATACTCTATTTAGGGTATAATTACAGGTAACAGAAAATACATTTATTTTTCATAGATGTGCTTAGAAAAATATAACAGTAATTGGTAAAATTTTAAAACACAAAAACGTTAAGTTGTCATAATTTCAATTAAAATATTAAAAAACCAAAGTCATAATAACAAAAATTTAAAAGTCATAAAGGAAAATAAAAGCCGTCACTCAAGCTCTTAAAATGCATTAAAGGGAATGCATAACCTCAAATACATGAAAAAATCATAACTTAAAACACTATATAAAATAACATTATGGACGTAATATAAAAAATGTAAATAACAAAATATAATGTACATTTGTAAATCATAAAATCAGAGATTCATAAAATCTTCACAAAGAAAATAAAGTAAAATTAAAGTAATAACCTCATAATCAAGCAATTTGAAATGTGTCTTCTCCTCTTCATTTTCTGCCAGAGAAATTCGCATTTTACACATATCCAATTCATCATAGGCCTTTACTGTGTATTCAATTTCGATCCAGTATTTAATGAGCTTCTTACAAAGCTGCTGACGACATTCAATGGCTTCCCAATGTCTGTCCATTTGTTGCGAGAAACTAATGAAAGCACCTTTCGTGCGCAAAAAGCCAAATAATACTATGAAAATTAGAAAATGAAAATTATTAAAAAGCCGCTCTGACGATTTTAGTACACAAAATACTAACCTTTAATAAGCGCTACTTCAAAAGAGGGATTTTCTAAACCCTCCGTCATGTTAGTGGCTTCATCAACGACCTTATTGAATAATAGACATTCGTAATCATTAAGAGCGTTGCGAATTAGGCAAAGTTTACACAACTTAAGTTTCGACTTCTTCGATTTTAACTTGGATTTGTTCTTTTCACGATCCTTTTTATCGTCCTGCATTTATAATATTTATTAAAAATAAAAATATATTGGCATTAAAAATGATATAAACAGGGATTACAAAAACTACCACAATAGTCAGAGGTTTGTTTTTTAGAGAGTTTGTTAGAAAAATGAATTAATATTATGAACGAAGTGCAAGTTCGTTTCATTTATGGCGTTTATCATAATCCTGCCTCTTTCTTCCTTGGTATTTATAGTCTCAAAATCTTTTACTTACAAGTATATCATTGAGATGACAGTCATAGACGCTGCGTATAAATTTAGTCATATCACGCCAAATGGCTGGTGTATTTTTCGAGCGCACGGTTACGTTCATTGTGTAAAATTTCAAATTTTTAAACTCCCTATTCAAATGCGTTTGCGCGGCTTCGACCTTTTGATACCACATTACTAGTATATACAACATACCCGATATGCTTTGTAATTGTTCTAATTTCGGGTTGCCACCAAAAGCGGTTGCAAATTCATCGCGAAACCGATTCAACAACGCGATTGCAAACGCGTCATTAACCTCGCTAATTTTTTCGGCTAGCATATTAGTAAATTCTAATAGTGGTACATCGAGGTTCGTCTCCAACCGTTCAAGCGTGTCTTCTGCATTGCTGCAAGTCGTACGCATCGTTGTCATTGTATTCGCATAGGGTTCCAGATATTTCCACTCTAAGGCGTTGCAATCCTCCTCATATTTGGACAGCACGTCGGCTGACAATTGCTTGACTTTGGCAGGTGAGATGTAACAAGCTTGCTGTATATTATGCAATGCGTGAATTTGGAGCAAACTGTCGACACTGGATGATAAAAACAAAAATAATATTTACGAAGGTGAAACTAAACTGTATTTAATATAACATACGAAATGTTGATGTCTTTGTAATCGCGCGCTAAACGCAACACCATTTCATAGTGTTTAATAGATTGCTCATAATTTCCTCTTATAAAATAAATTGCGGCCATGCCTAGAATATAAAAAAAAATAAACAAAACCAAAATGAGAAAAAAAATTACAATTGTGTTTTATTGTAGAATTACACATTTACCGTTGTATGACGAAGCCATGGTGCGCAATTCGGATTTACACTCAAACTCATTTGTGTATTTCAGATGCGCATGCAAGTCCTTTGGCTGTAGAAATTGTTTCTGTGGCACGTTTGACGAGCCTTTGTGTTGCCCACTGCCCGTGTTTACAACTGGTATGATACATGACTGACGTATCTTCAACAAGGGCTGTAGAATCTGTCAAAGTACAAAACAAAGAAAAAAATAATAAAACAATAGTTACTTAAAGCCAGCATACGCACAATTTTCATTATTATCGGCGATATCTTTAATATGCCTTGAGCATTGCCCAAATGCTTTCGGAGTACATGCTGGAAACTACTCTCACATAGCGCGTGCTGTTCAGTATAAAATAATTTCTCCAAATTGCTCAACCTTATGCGATGGACCTGATCAGACTGTGGTGGAATTTGCAGTTCTGCATCGACCTTAGATTTACATGTGCGCCACATGCAACGTTGCAAAACATCAACAAGTGTCAATTCTGCTTTATCATGATCATTTACAGCATTCTGCTGCATAACGAAATCATCTACTAATGCTTTCCAACCAGTTGGCGGCGTTAAGGGTTCTGTGAAACCGATAAATTCCAATAAACCACACAAATCATCAATGCTGCGTTGTATGGGCGTGCCAGTAATGGCCCAGCGGTTTATAGCTGCTTGTTGGAAATAAATAGTGTACAATAAATGCAAATAATTTAAAAAACTTTGTTTTTTACCTGGCAGTTGTTTTACCATAGCTGCCACATTTGTAGAATTTGATTCTACCATTTGTGCTTCATCAAGGCATACCCGCCACCACTCGATCATAAGCAATGGTGACAAGCGACGCATTGAGCGTTGCTCATTTCGTGTTACACGATCGGAAACATAAGCGCTGGTGTGATATATCTCACGGCGCAACAGAGAATAATCGGTTAGTACCACATCGTAGGTGGCCAACTCTTTTGGACTAATCCAATTGGCTGCCACTAGTTCATTGTAATCGAAAACTCTAAGAGCTGGTGCAACATGTCTATTTATTTCAGATATCCATTGCCCTTTTATTGTATGAGGTGTCACAATGAATGTGGTTGCAGCTTTTAGCAACGACTTTTGCGTTGTTATGTACCAACAGTTAGGACATAAATATGAATCATTGTTGGCGTTAACATCGAAACCACCAACACATTTTGCATGTTGTTGAAATTTACATCGTTTGCACGTACATAATTCAGTCATTGTTTTTCTTGTGCAAATACAAAATAAATTTGTAGAACGGCGTTTACGTTTTTTCTCCGGCTCCTCATTGTATAAGGTCTCTGATGGTGTAGTATCTGATGTTGTATCGGCAGAATTCTGCAGAGTTGACAGTCCTTGGCCGGATAAAAATCCGGGTCCATTCCTGTTACATAGATCCGACTGTCGTGGGAACGATGTAGCATCTGATAATTGTCGTTGATGTAATAGTAATAATGCCAACATCTCTACCGTTTTTCCCAAACCCATCTCATCTGCAAGTATGCCACCAGCTGGTACCTTAATTGGTGCGGGTTCAGATTCTTGAATATGCCAACTTAATAAATGCTTATATACCGTAGTTTCCCCATCGCGTGCCTGCAGTTGGATATAGTAATTTGGAAAAATTGTGATATTCATTTCCCGTTCTAATAGCCAATGAACTGTACGCGCTTGGTAATCGCATAGTGTGGGCCGAAAGTTATCTGGTAGAATTGGCAGTTTTTGTTTATTACCACTATTTAATTCTAAATGTTTTTCAAATAAAGTATCATAAAGCGCCGTAGTGACATATTCTTGTATTAAATTATGTTTAGAACCTGCGGCATCATTTTCTTCGTTAAAATTTTCTATGTCTTTTGCCTCTCCTATGGGAGTTTTATAATTTTTAAATATATTTGACAGAATGTACTGGTCTTCTAATGAAGGCACAGCTCTATTAATATTATAAGAAACAGCAAGGAAGTTTTCCGCCTTAATTTCATCGATACATTTATCAAGTGTTAATACATGATGTACATTTGTATTTAGTTTTGAAAGCAAATCCGTTGGAAATGGGAACAGCTTAGTCCATTTTTTGTCATCCCATTCAAAACTATTCGATGTAGTCATATAGTTCTCAATCGACTGCTGAGTTGCGCTGTTATCCTCCACTGCTATTTTACATAAAAAAATTTTCTTATGCATTTCGATATTTACTTAAGTTTTTTAAAATTATTTTGTTGTGTATGCGGTTTATTTTCGTACTAAATTATGAGGCAGTTATTTCACAATATCTGTGTATTTTGTCTTCAAGCATCAACTTATTATCTATGATTATTTATCACTTATTGGACAGTTTAATTTAATTTGTATCTCATTTCTACAACAATACCACAACAGCAATGTATAAGTCCTTTACGATGCACAACAGTATTTAAATTGTAAATTTTGCGCACAATTTTTTGTTTATATTTAGTTCTGTTTGTTTTGTTCGTTTCAGCTTCAAACAGCTGTTACAGTGTTGATATACTGCTGTTGTCGCGTTGCCAACAAATACTAATTTAGATACAAATATTCTGAAGAAGGTTAAATTTAAAATAAACCGTCTTGGCCTGGTACGTTACCTAAAATAAAATTGTTCTTGGTGACAATTAACCTATAGGTAAGTACAAGGATACTTTAAAAATATCATAAGCCTGCACGGGACATGACTGCAATGATACCCTGCCAAGGCAACTGGATTACATATCGAAATCAATATAATATAATATAATAAAAGGTTTGGAAGCTGTGAAAACACCAGGAAAAAACTGTCAACATTCTTCGCTATGAAGACGTAAACTCAACTTTTTTAATTATACGAAAAAATATTAATAACTAAATTAAGAGCTTGTTTAAATCAATTATATTTTTATCCTTTTATTCAAGGTGTAGGAAACTCCGCAACATTTTTCGGCATGAGAGCAGAGGTCAACGAAATCGAACCGAGTTATAATTAATTTCCTACCCTGAAAGCAACTGATTGGTTAAGTTCCGTTCAATTACCTAATAGTTCTACCAGAAGTTTCTGTTAAAGTTAAAAGTTGCACGCTGTAAATTATTCGTGTTGATTTGAAAATATACTGGTAATCACTCTTGAGTTATTGCATCTGCTGTAAATACTTTATTGAAGTTTTATTATGACGAAATATGGCTCTTTCCCAAAGTTTGGTTAGCAGCCATCTGTCAGTTAGGTTCTGGTTAACTTAACCAATACCCTTCTTTCGGTAAAGCACCTATTTTTTAACAAAAACGGAACTGATAGATGCATACGAACCAGACAATGAAAAAATTCCCGAATTTGTTTAAGTTTTCGTATATGAGCGCGGTCCAATAAAAACATATACTCACCGAACGATGTTGCCATTATCACATCAGAAATTTGTTATCGGATTTCAAAAATATGGAAAAATAACACTGTTGGTCGGTAGCTCGATTTTTATTATGTGAAATTATATCACGTTGAGCATATCTTTTCTGCCAATGCCAGCATTCAAATTGGTTTCATGAGTTCCAACATGATCAACAAGTCGGTTTTTAATGAATCACTCTCCGAGTTCCTAAACATGGCAATCGAATCCTTGATGCTCATTCGAAATATGTATGTTGGCGGCGATCCCGCAAAGTAAAAATTAAATACTGTAGCAGCCGGAGTTGGGAGTTTAATATGAAGGCAACCTACTTCGTAAACCACGTAAACGCTAAAACTAACGGGGAATGAACCAGGATGAGGTTTAGCGAATATGATGAATTGTGCATGGCGTCTGCAATATGACAGTATTTGTTGAGGATTTTCCCAAAGCTAAAAAATAAACAGTCGAAACAGCGTACTTCACTCGACGAACCTGTTTTGAAATATTTAAATACTGTTCTACCAGCCGGAAAGGTGATGTTCACCGTTCTCTGGCATTCTAAAGATCAGATCTTCATTAAATATCTGTAGAAGGTAAAAATTATCACTTCACAAAGCTGAACACTGACTGGTTCAACCCGATTAACAGAAAAAACAGTCCCAGTTGCTAATGAAAAGTGCTGAGAAAAGTGACCTTAGATTAATAACTGGTGTCGCGCCACCGTATTCTCTAGATTTTTTAAGTGTAAGTTCTTTTTGTTTCCAAACTTGGTGTGGAAAAAATTGAGTCGAATGAGGAAGCTATCGCCACCACGTTGTAAAACTATGTGGACCACCAGGAAATGTATTTTCCAGTCGGGTTAAAGAAGTTGGAGCACCGCTGGGTCAAGTGTACCGAAATAAAAGCGAACTCTGTTAAGAAACAATGGCTAATCGTTTTACTTCTGTGGATTAAGTATTTATTGCATCGCCTTCGTATATTTTGTCATTTATTGCTGCACATGTTTCACTGGCAAACAATGGCACTTTCTTTTATGAGCAACTATTTACACTTATCTCCACCAGCACTTCCAAGTTTGCAACTCATTAATCGCTAAGGTCTCCATTGCGATTCCAGCCATCGGCAGCTAAGTACGAAATCGTTCAACAAACGCTCGCCGCCGAATGCTCTGAAGTTTTCATTGAACCGCCAAAGTACGCGGACGTTTCATACTCGTATAACGCGCGTCGCGGTCGGTTGGAGTGTGCGCAGCAAAGTGGTACCTATGGAAGCCATAAATCAGTTTTGAAAATTTCTCCTGTTAAAATAAAAAAATATTTACCGTTGTTTATATGTTATCGGTAAATATTATTGGAAGCACGTGAGAAAATCGATTTAATGATAAACTTTCCCCCCGTTTCGCTGTATGAACTTTATTTAGTGTGAGTGTTGAGTACCGAGTGTTTTGTTTTTGTGTACAAAAAAACTATAAATATAATATATGGGAATAAATGAAGCGCGCCGTTAATTGTGATTATTTGGTGGTAATTAATTATTTTTAACGATTTTCCCTACACATATACATATATGAATATATGTACGTATGTGTGTTGAATTTACTGTTTAAATGTTAAAAGTTAATTGTATAATTTTTTACAATCAAAGCCAAAGGTATTAGCTATTTATTTATTTCATAACCATGGTTCGTGTTTTAAATGGCGGCAATTAGCCTTTAGCCAAGTATCAATGTCACCTGTATTATGCGCCAGCGTAAACCGTTAGATAAACGAAATTATATTATATGTAATATTCCGTGAAACATGTTCCGCCCCCATATAAAAATATTCGTTAATTGTGAATGTTTACAGTAATGAATACAAGTGGGTGTAAATACATATGTACATACTACATACAAAAGTATATCTCCTAGTAAGTGATTCATTATATAAAATTGGTCGGTTACTTCAAAAGTGGGCTAGGTTTGGTTAAACACAGAATTCGTTAACTTTAGGGGGGGTGGTCCGTTAAGTACTTAGTTTAGAAAAAATTAAAACTTTGAATATATTACGAATTATTTTGCAATATAGTTTCATTTTAACTCGACATACATGAAACAACGACGCTCTGAATTTTTAACTCATCTGAAACTTATTCATTCATCTCAATGCAAGCATTTGTCCTGACAAGCTATTATTTGAATATTGGAAACCAATAACTATCGTACGGAGCCACACATGCTGAATAGCAAAACTCGATATGGCTGTGGGGAGCACGTGCGTTGTCAGAGGAGCACTTTATTTTACACCAAAGAGGTAAAACCATGTATCCTTCTCAATTATTCAATGTACATAGTTCACAATTTGTGAATCCCTCAAGACAGTGGTTTGCGCCATCCATTTTTTTTTTTTTTTGGTATATACCACGCCTTTATCCTTTTGGTGCCTACTATTGGATTCCAATTTTCTTGATTAAAAAGCTCAATAACAGCTAAAAGTGGTATCACTGTCAGGCTTGTCGCTCATTATGGGCAAAACCTGCATTTATTGCTCCGACAGCTATCTCTTAACGCACTAAAAGGTGCTTAAATCGTGACGGAAGGAGAGTCGATAATATTATAGTACGGATAATACTCGTAATAATCCAAAAAGCAAATTATTGCATTCATATGTTATTTTACTAATCGCAGTACAACCGGCCATTATGTATTCAAAGTATTTCAGGGCTGTTCGTCAGACACTAAATGTGTATAAAAAATGTACATATATACATCAAGTATTTAAATAGAAAAAATCTATATCGGACAACTGTTTCATTGATTAAGTAATATGCCGGAAGGAAAATGCTCATCTGGGTATTTTTGGAAGTACAGCTTCGAGCAAAAAAAAAAAAAACAGTGATACTATGTATATGTATATAAAAAAACGATATACATACATATGTATATATATACATATACTGGTATATCCGGCTACGCGTTGCGAACAAAGTTAAAAAAAAAATTAAATATAAACTATCCTATCTCTTATATTGGATTAAATACAGTACTGAATACTGAATATACTGAATACAGTACACCAAATTTTACTTAATCGGTTCACAAGCTTAGGAGTTTACCCGGACCAAATGTAATTTATATCTATACATATGTGTATGAGAAAATCTGAATAAAAAAGAAAAGACCGTGTCCATATTTGAATCAAATTAAATTTTTTATAGCGATATTGTCGCCATTACAATTTCAGTGAATTGAAATAATAATAACTGTTGAAATAAATTGACTGTTGACAACAAGTGACAGATCGCACATCGATTGGTACACGAAAATACTTCTTTGCATTCGTTTCACAAAAGAGAATCTCTCGCGGCTGAAGACGGTCAGTTTTGTTCCTTCTTTTTTTATACTGAGGACTTAATATACCCTAAGTGTGCCACTGTGGACCACGTAGAAGAAAACATCGGAAACCCTATAAAGTATATACATCTTTAATATAAATGATCTGAGTTATGAGCTGAGTCAATTTAGCCATAAAGCAAAAGTTTTCAACCATAATATATTATTTCACTGCAAAATGTCACTAAAACTTGTAATAATACTTAAAAAAATTTTAATTGAATATTAAATTGTGGTCTAACTGTTTGTAAACTAAAAAAATTTAAGTATTATGAAAACCATTCGAAACGAAAGAAAAAATAACAAACATTAAAGGAAAAAAGTTATGGATGATCTGTGGGCGGAAAAACGAAGTGGTTAAATTTTTAAGGGTTCATAATGGCTTATCCACTTCCGGCAAAACTAATAGTTCTATAGAAAAAACGTATACTGCAATAAAAATATATATAATTTTTATATAGAGACTTTTTTCACGTAACCTCAAGATTTGAAAAATTCAAATAACCAAGTTTTTTGCTTTTTGNAACCTCAAGATTTGAAAAATTCAAATAACCAAGTTTTTTGCTTTTTGTATTTTTATCTTGCACTTACTTACTTTCTTAAGTCCTAACCCCACTGTTTTTTATTTAAAGTATTTATTTTTTCTCCATATATTGATATATCAAATAAAAACTCTAATTTCAAGTCAAAATATCAATTTTTCAGTAGGCTTTATGTTTGTGGAATCCATTTCTATAGTCTAAAGTACCAAATATGTTGGCGTTGCAATTTTTCTAGCTGCAACTGTATACGACAATATTGCCGTGAATATCCAGCCAACGTGCCCAGCATTTTTAATTAAAAACTGATTGTTACTTTAATTTTTTATTTATCAACACACTTATTCAAAACACATAAATATACATACACACATATATGTATATCGCAATGTTATGTCAGTAGACTTTTACAAAAAAGCCAATTCGCTCCCAGATTAACCGACAAGGTGACTAATGAAGCCGGCGTACACTCGAAGACGCAACAAAAAACGTTGCAGTGGAATTAACAATGAATAAAATCGAAAAAAGGGCGCAGAATTCATTGCCTTCCGTTGTGTGCATAATTAATTAATACAACATTTACAATAACATTAATACATAATAACAATAACAACAACAATAATAAGATAATAATTATAATAAAGCATATCATGGCTTGTGCTATCACCGGCAGATAGCCGTCGTGCATGAATGTATGTAGATAACGGTATTTTGTGTCTGCGCATCTGTGTGGAGTAATAAAAAGCCGAATTTAGTTATCATATCAACGATAAATTAAACATGTAAATATCGGCAATAATAAAGAATTACCTGGAACTCATGCATTCTCCGATATATTTATATCCACAACAATAACAATAACAGCTAGTCTTCGCAATTGCTTGGTTTGTTGTGGGTGGCATCAGCGAGTGGATTTACAATAAACCAGTGGGTGTGCAGCTGGTGCTTTTAGAGCAGAGTGAATTTCGGTGTCGCATTTGGTGGTAGAATTATTTGGTAAGTCTTTTCTACATATGCAAACAATTTTGAAAAATTTGTACAGTGGTTATGAAGATTGTAGTATTAGAGTAAAGATATCGGGCACGTTTCCGATTACTTTGGCGGAGGGGTAAAAAAACCGAATTTCCAGAGGAGGAATATCCAAAAATAATATAAAAATAACTAATATTTTTCAAAATATTCACGTTTAAAAATTCAAAAATTTGGAATAATAACACAAGGTATTTCTCTATTTTCCATTAAATTTATTCACGTTTTTCACTCTGTATATTTAAATATATACACTCTAAACATTCAAATAAGTTCACATTTCAATTTTATTTTGTAATATTTCACCTAAATTTATTAATTTAAAAATCACTTAGCGAATTTGGCGTTGCAAAGGTTAGATGGCTTACAGTTATGAGGAAAACGAGCGTTGCCACATCTTAAACACCAAATATGTAGGATTCTTAACGATTTTTCTTTGTTTGCTTTTTTGCGTGATTCTTTTTTCTACATTAATTATAATAAAAAATACTTTCTAACATTTTTTAAGTTATAATGGAGTTGTGAAAACTTTTTCCACATATTATACATTTTATATGTATAATATGTGATTTTTATTTAATAAACACATCTAATTAAAACTCTATGATAATATAGTATTATAAAATTTATATAATATCATGTTGGGATGACTGAAGTACTTTAAAAAAATAACCTTGGCCGAGCGAATACCCGGGTGGACTGAAGTACTTTTGCGGAGTACTCCTTTCGGCGTTAAAAATAAAAAATATATATTGAGTTTTTGTTATAAAGTTGTTAAAGTGGTTATATTTGTTGGTTACCATGCACTCATATTGAACGAAAATTTGAATTTTCGTACTGTACTAATATACTTTACTCTTTATTACGTAATATTATTAATATATAATATTACTCATACATATGTACATAC